TCATTTGGTCCAGTGTTCATTGCAACTTTACTCAAACACTTTACTCACAGTTGTGGGGTTTTTAGGAAAATAGGTTGGGGAGTGAGAGGAGGCAAAGAATATCATCCAATGGAAGTACTGCTTTTGCCCAGTAATCCCAGACCAGATTAACAAGGCACAATTCCTCAATTAGTGAAAGTCCAGGTTCATTTCAGCAGCGCAGATGTATCTGGTTTCCTTGGTCATCCAGCAAACTTCATCTCAGAGCAGTCACAAATCAGCTTTCCCTTCAGACATCCTGCAAGCAAAACTTTTAACTATGGCCCCATCTCCAGGATTCCTCTGTCATATCTTGCCACAGTTAACTTCACATCAGTGTCACAGTCTCTTCACCTTCTCTCCACCACCGTCTCTCACAGTATCTTCAGAGTTCTGGCACCGTGTGGAAAGCACTGCCTTATAGGTTGTTGATGGGTCATTCTTCAATCCTGATGCCGCATTCCCCCTCATAAAGCCCAGCCACTAGAATGATCTGTTCTGCATATAGGTTGAAAAGGTATGGAGAACAGGATGCATCCCTGACTCACTCCCTTCCTGATTTTGAACCATGCTGTGTTTCATTTACTTATTCTCTTCAGTCTTTTGTTCACTTTGTAATTGAGTTTCTGTTTTTCATATTGTTGAGGGTTTATGTCTCCTAGATGTTGAATAGTTTTGCATCTTATGTTTAAATTTGTCTTCTGGCTTGAGTTTATATTTATCTGTTACTAATTTTTTAAACTTTCTCTCGTGAGCACCAAATTTTAATTTTTAAATCATTTGGGGTGAGGTGGTAGGAAATTTGTCACTTACCTTCCTATGAAACAAAATCACAATACTCACTTCTCTATAAACATCCAAACTGAGGGACTCCTGCCGAGAGGCCCACACACAAATCGTATTTTAGAGGATTCATGCATTAAGTATCTTCACAGTATTGACTGTTGTCAAGTTGGTTTTAAAAAAATAGCAACCTTAGCTCATCAAAGTATGTTTTTCTATATGATTTTGGAGAGTAAAGCAGTACTTTAAAAATATAAAAGGTTTCAGAAAAAAGGCTCCTCACACATGATTTACAACTTAGAAAAACCTGTTGGAGGCTCAGCTGTGAGTTGATTCTGACCCAGTGGCTGTAAGAGAAAGCCTAATACAAGGCCTTTCTAAATTATTGAGGAGTAATGTTGTCAGTTTGAGGACTAAGGTGCGTCTGATTCAGGCCATGGTCTTTCCAAACGTTTGCTATGCATCTGAGAGCTGGACAATAAATAAGGATGACAGAAAAAGAATTGATGCCTTTGAGCTGTGGTGTTGGAGAAGAGCACTGAACAGCCTGTGGATTGCCAAAAGAACAAACAAATATGCCTTAGAGAGGGTGTAGCCAGAGGCCTCTTTGGAGGCAAAAATGATGAGGCTTCACCTCACATACCTTGGGCATGTTGCCAGAAGGCTCTATTCCTTAGAGAGGGACATGATGCTGGGAAGGGTGGAGGGTCGGCAAAGGCAAGGAAGACCCATAACTAGGTGGATTGGCATGGCGACTACTGCAGTGGGCCCTTGTGTGTCAGGAAGCCTGAGGATGGCACAGGATAGAACAGGGTTCACATCTGTTGTTCGTAGGGTTGCTATGAGTTGTATGTGACTCGACGGCACCTAACAACAGCAGTACAAGGCCCAAGAACCTGAGGGGAAGGGTAATGAATGCCTAAAAAATAAAGCTTGGATTGTCCAGGTAGGCATATTTCACTCTAAAGAAATGGACTCCCAGCGTGAACTCTTCTCTTTCTGTGCTCTTCACCCGTTTCTAGTTTTTATGATGTAGAACCCAGATCCTCCTCAGAAGCCTGTTTCTCTGCTTTTACCAGTGTTAATGTGTTGCCTCATTAAACACCCTGTGACAGTATTGATGCTGTCTCAAATAGAAATGGTAATAGCTATTTCAAAGCAAGACTGCATACAAAATGTTGAGCACAGTGCAGTATCTAATATGAACTCAGTAATACGGTTGTACCCTTCTTAATGATTTCCTGTACATATAATTGACATAACAATTAACTTAAATCTGTTACTGGAAATCTCTTCAAGATCACTTATAAACAACTATTTATTCGTTCATTCTCATATTTGTTGAAAGCCACAGAGTTGAACATGATGTCCAGATGTGTTTATCATTTCCTCTTTGTTTCCCTTTAAACATTTTAGTGCCATTTTAAACCACACTTCTTGGTCACTTTTAAGTAATGATAGAGTTTATTTTTTTTTTTTATATACAGAAGAACTTCCATATTTTTTTCTACTCAACTTGAATTCCCAGAAAATTTTAAATGCATTTTCTAGAAATCATGGAGATGATCTAATCCTGCATTATAAATTGGGTTATAATCTGTCAAACAGTTCTATGTGATGGCAGTGTCTCCCCTGAAGAGCTCTGGGGAGAAGAGGGCAGCGGGAAAGGATTCTATAAACTCTGATCTGTCATTGCTTTGAAACAAGATACAGTCTGAAGCCAGAACCCTTGGAGATGGAGGAAAAGCGATACACGGAGAAGTGGGAATAACCTGCCTATTGTCTGTTGTCTCTCCACTAGTTTAATGACTGGCTTTCTATGTGGTCATCCTTTTGGTCAGATAAAAGTTTTACTATATGTTGCTGTCCTTGTAATTGCTTTCTGGTCTTTGTTCTTTTTTTTTTCCCCAAGAAATAGTCTGTACACCATGAATATGATGACACTTAGTAAAATATTTTCTTCCTTTACACTATGTGCTGATTTAGAATTGTGAGGTTTTCCCCCTGCATGTGTCTAACCATATTTAAAAGTTGAAAGTAGGAAGTTTTCGAGTGAAGAGGCTTTATTCCCAAGGGTGGGATTCGTCAAGTGTTCCTAACAGGGAGATGAAGGAAGAGCAGAGAATGGGTGAAATGTGGGATAGTTAGGAGAGGGATGGCAGAAGGGGTTCAGGTCAGTGAAAAGTACTGCTCATGAGAAGGACATGCTATTCTTGAGTCTCCTACTTTATATTTTGGTTGCTTAGAGGTAAGGAATTGCATTTCCAAACTCAAAGAGACACTGTGAGTTCGAATCTGCCAGCTACTGTCTGCAGGAGAAAGATGGGCGGTCTCCTCTCATGGGGTTTATATCTTCTGAAAACCTACTGGAGTGTCAACTTTGAGACGATTCCAACTCGGTGATACATAACAACCACCACAATGTTTTATAAACATCACTGATAAAGATTTCCCCAGCTCTAAAAATTTTTTGTTCATTCATCAATGTTGACTGTTTCCGTAACCATTTAAGTATTGGGCTACAATGATTTTAAAGAGCACAAAGTTTGCCAGAGCGATCCAGGTTGTTAAAAAACTCATAAGCCTTATTTCATCCTTTTCCCCTGAACAAATCCTAGGTCAGTTAAAATGTGTGAGTCAAGGTCCTTACAGATTTCTTTCTTCTGTGCTCCCCAGGGACTTGCCATGACTGGAGGTTGCGATGTGGGGCTGTGGACTTGTACTTCACACTGTTTGGCCTCAGTAGGCCTTCCTGCTTGCCCTTGCCAGAACTTGGGTTGGTTCTTAATCTGAAAGAGAAAAAGGCCGTGCTGAATCCTACCATAATCCCAGAGGTGGTCACAGGCAACCAGGAAGCCACGAGTAACCCCGCCAGCCACCCTCAGATGGGTGGATTTCAGAACACGGTAAGAATTAATGTTTTACAGAAGACTTTGGGGTATTATATACAGCCATCCAGGGAAATGAATTTACTTCATTGAACTGGTCGATTTTAGAGCTGCTAACACATTGTCTTGCACCAATTTTTAAAAATGGTAGCTGACACTTGCTTAGCACTTTACAATTTATAAAGTGGCTCCTGACACGTGCATTACTCTCACAAAGCAAATGATGTGCCACCGGTTGATTTACTCCTTTGGGGATGACATAATGCTTTTTCTTTTTTAACCTCAGCATAGAATTTCTGCTTTCAGAGGCAGAAAATTGGTGCAACTCAATAGGTGATTAGGTAATTGTGTATCTAATTGTCTTGCCCATACATGTTAGTAGTCAACTGCCCATGTTCTCTTCACTGCAATTGTGGGTAATACGCAGCCCAATTCTAAGACATGTGAAGTGCTTGACAAGTGCTTGTTGAATTAACCAGGTAAGCAGGCAAATGATAGATGGGATAGTGGGTGGGTGGATAGATGGATAGAGCATAGAGAGATGACAGGTAGGTAATAGAAGGTCGATTCGTAGATAGACAGTTGACTCAATTGATCTGAAGACAGAGAAGTGAATATAGTGAATATCTAGATAAATAAGTAATCCGAGGATTTGTCAGATAACTTGTTTCAGCTCTTTATGTGTACAGATAAAGAATATTTAAAATATGTGTGTATCTGCTTTTAGAAAAGCTTGTATTGTAGCTGTGTATCATAAAATTCCAAGCCTTTGTAAAAGGACTTCTGGGATACATAGAGTTCTTTAATTCAGTGCATGTTTAGAAAGATATACACCTATCTGTATAATATGAAGGAAAAAAGTCTCGTAGATCTTTCTGATCTGAATATTTATAAGCTTATGAAAATGACTATGCATGTAACTCTTGCTCATCTGTGTTAGTTTGTTTTTCACAGTCATACATGTGTACAGGAGTACAGAGAGAACGGAACACCAAAGACATACTCTGAAAGATTCACTTAAATGCATGCTTCTTATTGACGCTTCCCTCTTTCCTCCAAAACAAACAGCGAAAAAGCCCCACCAACAGATAGAACCAGATTAAATTTATTTCATTAAACCCCTTGCTGATAACTTCTAGGCACTGGGCTTGCTCTCCTCTTCATGGTTGCTTTAGCTGATAGTTGTCAGCTGTAATTGAGCTCCTTGGTCTTTGGAAATTGCGTTTAGATCTTGAATGACAAGGGGATGACAGCCACAGGGAGATGATCCCATTGCTAAGAGGCCTCGTGTAATCTATGAGCTTATCAGCAGGGAGTGAAAAGGAAGGCTGAGTCACCACTGGACTGTCCACTAGAAACTGTTCAAATACTGAAGAAGAATGCGGATAGCAGTAAAGACAAACTCAGGGTAAGGAATACAGGTTAAGTTTGTACTAACAATACAGGATATTTACCTTTTTAAAAATCCTTTTTAATATTAACGTTGGTTTTTTCATAGGACAGAATCATAAAATAGCCCAGATGTCCATTTAAGTCATTGCGGTTGACAGAATTCTCTCTTTTGGGGGGAAAACCTTCGTGTGCACATTTCACAGCTCATTACTCCTTCCCACGATGTAGGAGTAGATTCTAATTGTCTTTCCATATCCAGTAATTTCCAGTCAGCATCTTTTGTCAGCTCAATAACATAATTGGATTTTTCTCCTCATTCTTTTTTTAAAAAGATAATACTTTTCCTTTTTAAGATTAATTGGGGGTGTGTCCTCATGATTTTTCTGCTATCTTTCTTAAGAATTAAGCTCAAGACATAAAGTCATGTAATGACTCCTTCCTTTGTGTTGTGTGTATGTGTGTTTTAGTTCTTGAGTTCTCAAGATGAGGAGGAAATTGATATGGACACCGTTCATGATAGTCAGGCATTTATTTCCCATCATTTGAACATGCTGGAAAGACCATCAACGCCAGGTAAGATGATTGTACTGAAACTACAGGCATGGTGGAGGAGGCAGAAGTGGGAGTGCTGGTCTGTGGAATTTGTCTTTATTTTCAAGTGTCCATCAAAAATCAAATGGATAGAAACACTGGTACATTCACAGGATGGAATATTATGTGGTGTTGAAAAACAGTGAATACAAAACACTGCACAGCGTGGATAAGTTTGGAAGACATTATGCTTAGTGAAAATGTGTTAGAAAAGAAATAAGCCCACTGTTGTTTTAATAGGGTCAGAATGGGAGTCGGGGCCAGAGTGGAAAAAGATAGATAGATGACGAACACTGGGTGAAAGGAGTAACAGTCTGAAAGGAAGGGATGATTAGAAATTATGTGTGCCTGGAACAGGACAAGCATTACAAAGGGAGGAGGGAGAGAGAGGGAAAATGTGTATAAATGAATGAAATCTAATCTCTTTGTGAATCTTCACTAAAATTGAAGGGGAATTTTTTTTTTTTTAAATAGCCAGTATAAAATTCTAGATAGACCATGTTTATGGGTAAAAGAATAAAGGAGGGAAATTTTTTTTTAAAGTCGCTTTTATTGGCCCTTTTCCCAGTATTTTGTATGGTTATTCTGATATGTGAGAACCTCTCAGGTGCAATTGTTCAGCTTAGAGGCATGCCTCTTGTTTGGCTAAAAGCTGGTTTTAACCAAGCCAGCTTTTTTTCGGTTAATTTTTCTTTCTCTTTTTTTATATCTGTTTTATTATTACTGTTGTACCAGTTGAACAGCTATAAAGTGATAATCAGGTTTACTTCAAAATGCATATTTTTTATGAATATGACTTTATTCCTAGATATTATTTGAATGGGTTTTTTCCTTTAAAGAAGCATGTTGATGTCCCATGGTGGTGTCCTCGTTGAGCTTTACACTGAAGTGAAAGCTATGTTACTGTTCTCTTTTTCTCTTTTAACTTAGCACAGTAGTGAGACCAAGCTGTTCTACTTTTTGTTTTCTGTCTTCCGTAATTTAGAGGTCTCAGTTATTCTTCCCTTATCGTAATCTAGAATGAACCAGCGCTGTTTCTGCTATTGAGCACGGTCAGGTTGGTTCCAGTCATGGTGCACTTGGTACAGACCTGCCTCGTAAGGCTTCCTTTACTGTAAGAGTTACAGAAGCTCATCGCCTTTTTCCACAGAAATACGCAGTGTGTTAAACCATAAGCCTTTTAGTTAGGAACCAAATAATCATTGTCCTACCAAGGTTCCTTAGTAAATTTACAACTTAGCTTTAGGGAGAATATGAAAAAGATCTTCAAGGAGATATTTTTGAAAAGGAATAGACCCTGAATTCTTTGCCTTTATTATTTGTCTTTAAGAGATCTTTATCACTTCTCTATTCTGTCCACTTTACAGACACACTCAAATAATGACAGATGTAGAGCTATAAACCCAGTTGTAGGACTTTCCTGACTAATGTTCTTATTTCATACCAATGCTTTATATGTGACAAATGACTGAATGGAAACCCAGAAAGATAAAACGTCTTGCCCAAATCACATATTTGACTTGTTTAGTTTGTAATCAGAGCCTAGGTCTCTACCATTCAAGCATTTCCCATTTTAAATGTCTTCTGTAACACTTAAATTACTTTAATCTCTTTTTTGAGTTAGTATTATAGTGGGAGAGCAGGTATTTCAGGGAGAAAGCAAATTTTGGTATATGCAAAGTTCCACGTGACTGTAAAGAGAATGACAAAGCTCTTATCCCAAAACATCACATCTAGTTAAAGTAGTAAACAGGTCTCTTAGCCTCTCTTAAAATGATGATGGTCTCAGACTTAATGAATAGGAACCATTACAAAGGAATAAATCAGTAGTTTTACAAATGGTCATTTTAATTACTAGAATTAAACTTTGGTCGAGCTGCTTCATTTTCAAGTTAGCTTCTGAGACCTAACAGGCCTTTTGCATTCCTTTCATTTGGCATTGTAGGCTTCTCCAAACTTCGGCCAGCCATCTCTCGGTCGGCGTCATTACCTCAACACGCCATGGGCTGCGATGGCACCCCCAGCACCAAGCCCCCGTGGAGTATTGAGCTCGCATGGAGAGCGACAGGTAAGAGGCATTTTCTTTATTTGTTCAAAGGCAAATCTCTGTACTTCATAATTTCAAAAGTACTTGAGTACTTTTGACTTAGTGCCTTAAAACTTGTATTTCTTCCAACACATTGACATTTTCTGTTATCCAGCATGAAAGACTTTAAAATTAGACTTCTTTCTATTTTGAAAACAATATGCTCTCATTGAAAACTTGGAAATTACAGAAAAATCAAAGACGGGAAGTGACGGGCATCCCTCATTGTGCCCTTTGCGGGTGATCACTGTATTCATGTTTTGCCCCTTCTTGGGATGCTTTTTCTAAGAATATTACACCGTAACTGCCAGGAGAACAGAAGAGTCTGTCCTGGAGAGGGTGAAACCAGTTCACTGTCTGGAGGCAAGGACTTTGAAGCTCTGTCTCACACACTTTGGGCATGTTGTCAGGAGAGACTAGTTCATGAAGGGCATCAGGCTTGGAAGGGTGGAAGGTCAGCACAGGAAAGGAAGGACCTGGATGAGAGAGAGCGACACAGTGACTGAAAATGGGATGAGGTGTGTCAGAGATGGTGCGATGGTGCGGTTAGCTCAGGTTAGGGCACGGTTCAGAGCTATTGTTCATAGGGTCCCTATCAGTTATAGTTGATTGATTGGCATATACTAACAACAATAGTATTTACTCACATTTTTACATGCATACATATATATAAAATGAAATAATAAAAATTACATAGACGTGTATGTATCTTCCAGTGTAGGAAAGAGTATTACATTAATTACACTAAAGGCAGAAACTAAAAGAGAAAATATTATTAATTCAATTACATTAAAATTTAAAACTTATCGTGCCAAAAAAAAAACCAAAAAGAATATTACACCATGACGTATACTAACATTGATGGAAACCATCAAATTCCGGCCTTTAGACTTCTATACAACACAAAAATCAGTTCTTTTCTTTCTGTAAAATTAGTAGTTCAGTCAGGAAACCTTGAGGTAGATTCAGAAAACTTAAATGTGTTCCTCCCTTCATGTAAATAATTTCATATTAATTTAATTTTATAAACATTAATATAATTTGGATCTATGTTTTACCTAGTCCTCTATTTTACATGGTCGGCTGCTCCGTCTATTCTTTGTTACAACACCAAGATTATAGGCCAAATAAAGAGTAAATATTTGATGCTGATGAAATGCCATGAAGCAGAGATTCAATCTTCAAGTTCTAGAAAAGAACAAAGTAAAAATATTTTTAGAGAAAACTTTTCCAAGAGTCATTAGTCAGTCTTTAAAATCTGTCAGCTTCTGGTTACATTCCAACCAATGGATTTTGCTTCTGTAAACCATGTTTTATGTTATAAATAAGAAAGTACTGTTTATGGAGCTGAGGAACATAGGGATCAATTGTGTTTAAAAAGAGACTTCAAATAATAGTAACACCTCAAGCTGTTTTAGTGTTGAGACCCTTAACTGTTGTTTGTGTATCTCACTTGATACAAGCATTTATTGTATTAGGACCTACACAAATATTTTTCAGAAAGAAATCAACTAGAAACTTTGGCTTTTTGTTTCTAATGAGTGAATTTTTACATTTCTTAGCTCCTGCCTGCCAGTTTTATATTGTCTTTATTTTATTTGTTTTGGTGTATTTTTGCTTTGTTGTGGTTGTGTACTGTAGATTCGGAACTGACCCATACCTGACCCTCCAGCGGGTTTTCAGAGGCAGTAATTGCATGGGAGGAGATTGTCCATCCTTCTCCTGCAGAGCAGCTGATAGATTTGAATTTCATGCTTTCAGGATTGCAGTGCAGCTCTTTGCCACTAGACCACCAGAGCTTATTATCATTATATTTGTGACTTGAAGAAATTATCTCAATTTTTCAAAAATTACAAAGTTTACTGAGTTCCAAATCTCTTGTTACACAGGTAGGTGTTGATTAACATCCATGATACAGTGTGGTTTGGCTGTTGTACAAACACCGTAATAAAACATGGGATCCAGCACCTCAGCAACAAAATGGCAAACAACCCAGTTGAAAAACAGGCGTGGAAAGGTGCATCACTAATAAGACATTCACAAACTTTGTAAATAAATCAGTATAATTTTTTTTAATAAAAGGACATTCAGATAGCCAACCAAGGGGTGAAGAAATGCTCAAAACATTAGCTATTAAAAGATGCAAATCAAAACCCCAATGAGATACCTCACTTCATCAACAATAGCCAAGTTCAGTAAAACAGAAAACAACAAATGCTAGCAAGGATATGGAGAGATTCAAACTCTCATACACTGTTGGAGAGAGTGTTAGAATGGGGGAACCACTGTGGAAAACACGTTGGTGCTTGCTTAAAAAGTTAGAAATACCTTTTGACCCAGCACTCTGACTTCAAAGTATATATCCTAAAGACATTAGAGTTGTTACAAGCAGAAAACTGCACCCATGTTCCTTGCAGCACTTTTTATAATGCCAAGAGCAAGAAACAAAGTGTTGTCAGCAGTTGAATGGAGAAAGAAGCTTTGATATATTCCCACAATGGAGCATTATGCAATGCTAAAGAATAGTGAAAAATTGATGAAATGCTGCATAACTTGGATGAATCTAGAGAGAGGACATTTCGCTGAGTGAAAGAAATCAGTCACAGAAACACAAATCTTACATGAATCCACTACTATGAAAAGTTAAGGAAGGTTTACACCCAGGAAAAAAACCCCAACATTTCAGGGTGGTTACCAGGGACAGGAAGGAGGGGACAGGGGAGTTAAAATCAGTAAATAGATGACAGACATCTATTAGGACAAGTGAAAGGGAAGACATGACAACAAAATAAGGGACTTTCCAACACTGTAAAGGCATGGAGAGGCACACAAGGAATAGAATGAAGGTAAATTCTATTGCCAACTTAATCCTGTAATTGCAACAGTAATAAACCTGCATCTGCAAGTGGGTATGTAGGCAAACGGGCAGAAGGACTTCATAAGGACAGCTGAAAGGAATACATCCGCAGCCAGACATGGCTTTGGTAGAAGATACTGCTACATTCATATTCATTAATTAGTGCTGTAAATATATTCCTGTATATAGCAGAACTAGCAAGGGTCTCTGGTGGACCAGTACCTAAGGAGTTGTGATGCCAACCCAAAGGTTCCAGCCTACCAGCTGCTCTAGAGGAGAAAGATGACAGTTTCTGCCCCTGCACTTTTCAGCCTCTGAAAACCCACTAGAGGGGCAGCTATGGGTTGGTTCCAGTTTAATGTATGTAAGATAGAATCATCAGCAAACTCTGAAGGAATGAGTTGCCTGTCATAGGGCCTTGGGGCCATAGTCTAGGGGGGTACAGCATGGTCAGTTGGTATAAATAAATTGTCCACAAAGACAAATGTTCTGTGTCTTCTTTTCATAATAAAGTTTACAAGCAGCTTTCTGAAGGGCAACTGTTTGCCCCCTAGTCTGGAAGAAAGAAGAAAAACAAAAGGCACATAGAGACCAATGCACTTGAACTTGAACCTGTACAACCCAGAGAACAGCTACCACGGTCACTGTAAAAGGAATCACAATAGAAGGTCCTAGATTGTGCCAGTAACAAATGTGGAACAAAACTCAAAAACCTAAAAATTAAAAATGGCCAGGTTTCTTTTCGTATAGAGAAACTGGTACCCCTTAGACAGTGATCTTAATCACCCTTTCATCATGGAGCAAAATTCATTCCCAGAGCTCAGCCCTCAGCCAGACAATAGACAGGCCTATATGGTAAAGGATAACACCAAGGAGAGAGGGACACTTTTTTAAGAATTATAAACTATATCAGATCAAACATGTAGCATTTGCTCATTAATCAAGCTCAGAAGGCGAGAAAGGGTAGCATAGGGAGATTAATAAAATTGATAATCATGAGAAGAAAGTGGGAGAAGTAGAATTACGTTGTAGATATTGTAATTAATGTTATGAAACAAGATGTATATGCACAATTGAATGGAAAAACAAATTAGCTTAGTTAAAACCAAACCTTATGGCGCTTGCTTTTGGTTATCCGCGGCCATCGGTACTTCTGCCCCACAGAACTCTCCAGCTGACCCTCAGGGAACGATGTGGCCATAGGCTCCGTGAAGAGGGAAAGATTGGAGACAGGAGAGCGAGCACTGTGGGAAAGAAAGGTGTGGCTGCTCTCGAGTTTCTAGAGATTCTAGATGAGAGTGTTTAAATGAGGAGTTTTGGACGATAGTCAGCTCGTCCAGCTGATAATGTATGTTGGTTTTGTTTGGTCTGTAAACATTTTACAGAAACTTTGGATGAATTTACAAATATGTAAAAATTAATAGATTGCACAAAAATCCAGATTCCTGGATTTTTTTTTCTTGCAGAGTGTTAAGGTTAGCTTTTCTTATTCACCAGTGGAATTGAGCAGACCTCTTACGTAGGACATAATGTTTTCTGGTTCACCAATTCTTCTTGTCTTGCACCTAGCAGTCTTATTAGGTCCAAGGTTTCAAGTCCCAAATGCCTTTAGTTATAAGCTGAGATGGAGTGTTAGAGCCAGGGAGCTGTGTGAGAATTGAGAAGTGGGTGACTTGGAATTTACTGCCAAGCTCCTATGAGAGGAATAGAAAAGGCATGGGGATTCAGGTAGGAAGGACAGGTGAAAGAGCGAGGAAAGGAAGACAAATCGTGGTTTGCTTTTTAACACTTCCCCCCAGAGTTTTAGGGTGTCGATAATAAATGGGTTCCAGATGAAGCTACCTAGTGTCAGAGCACAGAGGTATTGTCCTTGATCGTCCTCTTTTTTTCTCTCCAAGGTCGAGGGAGGGAATGTGGAGAAAGGACTGTATGATGCTCCCGGAGACAGGAGCCGGAGCTGTGTGCTTGCCCCCCTCCTCCCCATTGTGGGGCCTTTGCTGGCTGCTCTGTGTCCCAGGCCGCTGCAGGGGCTGCAGTGATAGGGCCAGGAGGGGAGGGACACGAGGCAAATCCCTGCTGGGTTCTGAGGAAGAATAGAAAGTGAGTGGCTGCAGCTGGCTCCCTA